GAAAATTTTCTTCTCAAGAACCACTGGGCCAGAAAAGCTGACACTTATGTGCACATGGAAGGATCCTGGGGTAGTGTAGATTTTAAATTCTCTAAATTATGATCAGTAGGATAGAGTGGGGATGTATTATGTATTACAAGGGGGAAATCTGGTAAAGAACAGAATGGTCAAAGCTTCTCAGGTGATTGATGTTGCCCATGGGCCTCTTTGTTACATCGACAGTCTCGTTGTTCTGGGTGATATACATAACCAAAGCAGGTGATTCTATAAGTATGTAGAAAACCGGATCGAACGAATCAGAAGGTCAACAACACATGACCAATGGCAGTATATTTCAACTAAACATAATCCAGCAGTTTCCGTCACAAGGAACATGACTGCTGAACACATTATCAACGACAGGTGGATCTCAAGACCTCCTCAACTCAGAGAACCAATTGAAGATAACCTCAATACAGAACATCATTTCTGTGATCCTGAGAATGACGCTGAAATCCGCAAGACTAAAAAAGTTGAAACTCTAAAAACAACTATTGACGACAAAAGCGATCAACTTGAGGCATTTCACATAACTCATAGGCTGGAGAGTTTCTCTACTTGGAAAGTTTTGGTTAGATCCATAGACAGATTGAAAGCACTATCTAGGAGGTATCACTCTCCGAAGGATCTTACAGTCTCAAACGACTCACTTTCATCTGAAGACCTCATCATACGCATGGTCCAGCAGGAGGTTTTCGCGCAGGAGATTATGTGCTTGCAATCACAAAGGCCATTGCCCAGAAGTAGTAGCCTCACGTCTTTTAACCCAGTTATTGATCAAAACGGGTTGCTGCGTGTAGGAGGTAGACTGAAGAGAGGATACCTTAGTGTTTATGAGAGATATCCACTTATCATTCCGAAGAATCATCATGCAGCTGTCTTATTAATCCTTTTCACGCAATGGTAAAACATCAAGGGAGACATTTCACAGCTGGGGCACTGCAATCGGCAGGATTCTGGATTATTGGAGAGAAGCGCTTAATATCCTCACTGCTACACAAGTGTGTAAAGTACCGTCGACTACGTGGAAAATACCAGAGTCAACTGATGTCCGACTTACCAGCAGACCAAATTCAACCATGCCCTTCTTTCACCTACATTGGGTTAGATACCTTTGGTCCATGGACAATTGCGACTCGCAGAACGAGAGGTGGAGTGTCGAACAGCAAGCGATGGTCCGTACTTTTCACTTGCTTATACAAAAGAGCCATTCATATAGAAGTGATTGAAGAACTTTCATCCTCTTCTTTCATCAACTGCTTTAGAAGATTTATTTCTCTCAGAGGAAATGTAAAAGAAATCCGATCTGATCGTGGATCTAATTTCGTTGGAGCAATTGATGATTTAGACGTCAAGGTTATAAACGTGGAAGATAAACCTGTTGGGGAATTTCTGTTAGACCAGAAGGTGACTTGGATCTTCAATCCCCCACATTCCTCCCACATGGGTGGAGTGTGGGAGCGTATGATTGGGATTGCTCGTAGGATACTGGACTCAATGCTCATGGACTTGCATTCAAAACATCTTACTCATGAAGTATTGACAACCCATATGGCCGAAGTATGTGCCATCGTCAATTCCAGGCCGACAGTCCCAGTGTCCTCAGATCCAGAAGCTCCTATGATTCTCAGCCCAAACATGTTGCTGACTCAGAAAACTTACAACATTCCGACAAATTTTATACCATTCAGCATCAAGGATATGTATAAATCCCAGTGGCACTGTTTCCAACATCTTGCTAATATTTTCTGGGATATCGCTGGAAAAAGGAATACCTACAGACACTCCAAATTAGGCGTAAATGGCAAAATATCTTACCTGATCTCTGTGTTGGAGACGTTGTTCTTGTGAAAGACTCAAGCAATGCAAGGTGCGAGTGGCCGCTTGGAATCATAACTAACGAAATCAAAAGTGCTGACGACAAAGTGCGTAAAGTGGAGGTGAGAATAATAAAGGACGACATATCCACGACTTACACAAGGCCAATATCAGAACTGGTTCTTTGGATTCACAAGGACTGAGACTATACCTTTCTGGACAAACAGAATTGTTTGAAATATGTGTTTCAATAATTGTTTGATTATTACTTTATGTCAAGTAGAAACTTGTGAATTTTCCAATTCATGTTTTATATATTAGTGATATTTTCAATATCAGGTACGGAGTGTGGTGGATTTCATTACATGTATTATGCGTTTATTATTTCTGCTGGTTATGACTTAGGACAAAGAGACACAAGAGCTTCCACAATGTCAAAGCTTGTATTTAAAACGGACATTTGATCTTCCATTTTGTCGAGATCAGGAGGAATGCCAAATAATTGTGTAGAGCTTAATAGAAACAATATTACTGCTACGTTTTGGACTTCTGATTTGCATGATGGAACACGAATTGATGTACCGTCTCTGCTGTCTAGACTGAATCAAAGGGTTTATATTTTTGGAATCAAAGGAAACAAATCACTCTATCCCGAAGTTTTCAAATGTCTTGGCATAAACATCTACAGAAAGCTATCACCTGAATTAAAGAAATATACGACTCATTCAACACCTTTATCAGACGGCAGTGTAAGACAAAATGCTGTAATTTATAGAGAAGATATCACGTTCGCAAATACCGATGCCTTCTATTGTGCATTTCCAGCATCTATGTGTGAGTTTTGGATGCCATTTAATGAAACTAAGTCCATCTTGTTTTTACCAGCTCATAGGTATAATTTAGGTCGATGTGACGTAAAAAGTTGGGAAGAGCTCAATAAAAAGTTGCATGAGCTTGCAGAAAAGAAAAAGGGTGCAAAATCGAGACATGTAATTGGTGCCAACAATCGATATGATTATGAGTATCTGTATCACTACACTGGAATTCGATCATTAAATTTGATATCTAGTTTTTCGGGGTTTTACACGGAGAATGCTACTTATAGACCAACGGAAAAAGATATTCTAGTTATGTTTGTCAGAGGGGGGAAAATACCAAAAGCCGTTGAAAAAACAAATTTCAATATAACAATACTTCATCACAAGTATAATCATTACACATTAAATGATTTGACGAGTTACCCAGCAACTATTTTTTTTCCGTATGCCGTGCATTCTTTTAAGATTACTGAACTGTATTCTTTAAATATACCTTTGTTTTTTCCGAGTCTGAAATATATGTGGGAGAACGGTGGACTTGGGTCTGATCGAACAAGTACTAGTGAACCCTATTGTCAAGACGATAAAGAACTTTGGACAAAAATGAAGAAACATCCCTGTAGCTTTCATTCTTTTAATCCCAATACTGAAATCAAAGATCACCCAGAAGATGAAATGTGCTGGCTTCAGTTTAGTGACTTTTATGATTGGCCTCATATTCAGTATTTTGATGACAAAGAAGATCTTGAAAGAAAAATTTCCAAAACATCTGGGACTGATTTGAAAAGAATCCACAAAAGTATGACAGAAGAAAACGAAATCAGAAAATTTAGTTTACTTGAAAAATGGTGTGAAATTATTCCACATATCAAACGCAACGGGTAAGAAATCAAGTTTTAAGTCAGAAAATTGAGAAAAATGGAGTATTTACATGCTCTCCTTTTTTAACACCTTGTTTACAAGTATTTTTGATACTCTTATTTAAATGTACTAGCATTTTTGAAACGTGTTAAAATCTGTACAGGATTTTGAAGTTTAGAGGTAAAATGCAAACTTTGATTTTATGACTGTGAACGGTTACTTTCTTCCTTAAAATAGAATTCATTTCTTTCATTCTTTTTTTATTGACTCTTACATTTTACAAATTAAGATAAAATGCATACATGTAAATTACATAAAAAACAATCAATAATTCTAATAGACATATAGGATATCCTATGATTTGTAGTTGAGTATGAGTTGCGTGTCCTCGGGGATAAAAAGACTCAAGGAGTTGGATAAAAATCAGATCCTGCTTCAAATAATGGGAGATTCTTTTTATATTTAATACGTCACTATCAATGTTTACCCTGTTTTTATATAGGGTTCTACCTTATTTTATTCATCACTCTAATGCAAAATCTATTGTGACGTCACAGTTGTGAGATATCAAAAATATCCAATGAGTCATATTCAGAGGATGGAGCGATAAACATGGGATAAATATAGGATGTTCCATGAAGTAGTTGGATATGATTTTTATCCAACGAGTTGTGTGTATTTATCCCCGATTAGTCACTTAGATGTTAAATATGCCAAACCTGTACACCAAAGCAGGATATAATTAATTAAATACGCAGGGGGAATAGGGAAGCATACGAAATATTCTACCTTGAAATCAGTGCAACATTATGACGTCATAGTAGGCGAGATGACGTCAATTCTAGAACACAAGTTTTCGTAATATTGGTATTTAGAGATGTAATTTAATTCTAGAAAATGAATAGAAACGTGTAAACATTAACAAAAAATGAAATGTTTTTATTTTGTTATGCTGTATTCTGTCATTTTGATTAAAATCTACTACGATGACGTCATATGAAACATCAAGTACATATAACTTTGGAATTGATCATGTCTGTAAAGAGAATTTGGTTAAGACGGCATGCATAAAGATACGTAAAATGAAGTTTAAAAGCAAATATCGTGAATATTTTGTGTAATTCATATGGAGTTCCGTTTATTAAAACAGGTATGCTAATTGATTTTCATCGATAATATTCTCTTTCGAAGACAGTCAGGTACATACGTAATTCGGTCCGACTGCCCTCTGTCATTTGTGACAAAAATAATGCAAGAGAACAACAATAAGCTGTATATTTCAAAACACAAGATTTGTACAGATGGAAAGTTTGCCTCCTAAAATACTTGGAAAGTGCTGCTAGAATTCCAAGTCAAGCATGGTTTTACGAAAAATCTCGATTCATAATTATGTAAAGAATTTAAAACATCGGGTAAAGTTTCCTGCAAATGTGTGGAATAATCATTTTACTGACGGGAGAGAGGGATTCTAGCAGCACTTTTGGGGCAAAATAGATGTTTTTCAACTACATTGTTCACTCAAAGAAATTATTAAACTCCGGGATATTATTGTTCTGTTAGCTTTTTTATTAAGGAAAATTTGGTTATTAATAAAAGTCACGTGATGCTATGTTGGCGGTGCATGTCGTATCTTTATGCAATAAATAATAATAGTTTACGTTTATCAGCGATTTTGGTAAATTATCAAATTTAATTTTCTTTAAAAAGTCTAAATTTCCCGAGAAATAATTTATATGCTTCCTTAACATACCCGCGTACACTCTCTCGATAATTATTGAATAATCGCACTAAACAAAGGTTTTACATTGGTATTAATAGACATTCTAAAATAAACATTCTGTTTATCAATAAAACACATTTTTCACTGTAAAAAATTAATTGATCTGCCTTTACCTGTACATAAAATACGTTATTTTTGCCAAAACGACGTCATGTCGACAAGTTCATTCCGATCGGTGATTTGTTTATCCTGCTGTCTGGGATTTAACTTGTAACCATTTTTTATGCATTAATAAGATTATTTGATGTTTATTATAATAGTACAGTTCAAAGTTGCAAATTGTTTCATTTTCTGGTATTATGAGGAAAAACTACATGTGCCTTTTTGTGTGATGTCACAGTAGACTTTTCCCGTATAAATTAGGCCTCTCCGCCTTATTTCAGCCTTAACAATTCTGCGATGGAAAGGAAATTTGGAAAATTTTTAGATTTTTTTAAATTCTAACTTTCCTTTCTTTACATATTTAAAAAAACATTCATGTTATGTATTCATTTACAGCAAATTTTGACTCTGAATTATAAAGCTTCTTACTTGCAAATAAAACATTTTCTTCAATAAAATACTAAACGATTAAATAAAATTGAATAATGAAGATCGAATTCTAGTATTGGTCTTGCAAGAATGCATAGTTAAACTTGGAAGCCTAAAAGATATATTAAATGAAATCCTGGCGCATAAAAAATGTTATAGAAAATACTTCGTAGAAGTTAATTATGATGAAGACACATTCTAAGGTAATTCTAAAGTAATACAATCAGTTTTTAAAGCTATTTCAGTTCCTCCCTACTTCCACTCAGGTAAACATAACATAAGGGAATATAATTTGGGATCGAGACCCAAAGTACTTTGGAGTTCTCCCAAATCAACGTTTTTTAACGTAAATTTTCATTTTTAATTTAGACTGAAAGTAGTGAAATATTAATCCCGCAAAATATTGGGCCCCTAACCTACCGCATCTATTAATTTAAATTTTAAGTTAAATAATCAATTTTTTGGCGATATTGAAAGATTTTTTAGCTCTCATCTTTTTTTCTTTTCACGCCTACAACTTTAAAATATATTTTATAAAAGAGCTTAACATTATTTCTTTTTATATTGTTAAAAAAGCAAATCATTACAACTGGTGATGTTGATTTGATCTTACTAAATGCATTTAGCTAAGACCTAAGAGAAAATAAACAAGTAAGATAGCATAAACCGTGTTATGTGTTGATTATTGAATCATAATTATTAAAGATAGTTTATAGCTTTTTTCACTCAATACGATGATTAAGCCACCTTCGTAAAATATTCAGCCGTCCCTTTGATCTCGAGAAAACATTGAACTCAGGTGGCTGAGTCGTAAGTGTTGACATTAAAAAACAGCAATAATTGTACATATGTATACTACTAGTTTAAAGGTGCATAGACACAGATTTAACGAAGTTAATACTTTCTCAAATTTTCAGTATAATATCACCACAGATATATTGCAAAAGCATTTTACACGAAAATATAATAATTTTATTTCATCTAAATGTTATTGAAACTTCAATTCTGGACGGGTTTGATTGACACATCCATAAATAAGTCAT